TAGATTGGATAGAAAATTCTCGTTAAAGGGAACAAAACTGAAGTCGACTTTGTCCTATTCTTTTTCTTCGGTTTGATTGTTCTTTAAAATAAGATTTGAAAAGAAAAAAGAAAAAAATTAGGAAGAGAGAGAAAATTGAACGGATTAAAATTAAAACGAAAAGAAAATGAGAATAACTTAATAACGGAGGAGATTAATCTTAAGCCTACCTTTCTCCATCTGACTTTTAGGTTTAAAAATAAGAGATCCTTCGGTTTATCGTTCCGCTACACGGTAAATTAGATTCGTCCTACGTAAACGTCTTCGTTCAGTTTGGTTCTGTTCAAGTTCGGTTCGGTTCGTTTCACGAATTTTCAATCTGTCATCCTTGTAATTCCAAACTTCTGATTGCTCGCCTTCGGGAAAGTTTCACGCCCCTGTCGAAGAGCTTCAACCGAACATCCGACTGGTCTTTGCGAATGATATTAAAGACTCTATCGGAATGGAAAAATATGATCGAGAAATAAACACTAGTGATTTTTCGAATAATTTGATGAAAATTTTCATCTCAATATATATCGAGATACAAATTGTTAGAAATAAATCACCTAAAACAAATCAAAGTTTTTCTTTTTTACTCGTAATAATTGATTTTGTTCCTTTCAAATTATTCTAATATAATATTAGTAGTATCGAAGAAATTAAAAGATTTGATATAGCGAATCAAATCAAAAAAAAAGAAAGAAAATTAATACATAGATCAGAAAATTGCATGGAGTATTTTCTCGGGAGAGAGAAAAAAAAGAAACAAATCAAAGTTCCAATTTTTTACCATGATACTGAACTCCTTCCTGAATTATGCTAGAAGTAGTCGTGGAAGTTTAAAAAACGTACTCGTAGCTTTCGGCTTGCTTTCGTGCCGTAGGGCCAGTGTGCCCTGTGGACACGTACAGAGTGTCTAACGAAAAAGAAGTCTCGGTTAGACGGTTCAAGGAAGAACAAGGATTCTGTGTGTTAAAAAGAGAAATAAAGAAAGAAAGAAAGAAAGAAAGAATGTGTGTGTATGTGTGTGTGTAAGAGAGAGAAAAACAAACAGATATGTAGTAAAAGAGAGAAAAAAATAGGATCAGGATGAGGATGAGAGTGAGGGCGAGGGTGAGAGAGAGAGAGAGAGAGGCAGAGGGAGAAGAAGAGAGTAAGAGGAAATAAGGAAAAGAGTGGTCGGACAGGAAGAGAGGAAGCAAAGTGGGATAGAGGAAGATCGCTGCTACGAGAAGTGGTGAAGCGCCTGCGCCTTCGTTCGTCCACAGTTTCTACCTACAATTTCGTCAGTCGGGCCTTCAACTCCGGACCGCGAACAACGATTTGACTGAACGTGTCTGCTGCGTTAGATACAAAAAAAAACCATTAGATCGTTGATCGAAGTCGTAACATAACACGGGATGAAAATATGTGAAACAGGTGCGAAATATCATTCTGACATATTTCTTTCCATTTAAAAGAAAAAATAAAAACAAGAAAATATGTCAAAAAATAAATATTTCTTTTGTTTTTTTTTTTTAAGTACTAACAATAAATATACATAATAGGGGAAGTTTAAAAGGATTAGTGTTTAAAATAGAGAAAAATTATTAAGGGGGAAGAATTATTAAGGTCGCCGTCTCGTGTCTCTTTTATGTGTGTTTCTTTTAAATCTTTCGTTTATTTCTTTTATTTTTGTTATTATCCTGTTTTCGTTGTTGTTACTTTCTTATCATCTTTCTTTCTTTCTTTCTTATCTCGTTCACTCGACTACGTTCCATCGTCGCCCGTTCGACGACGATACTAGGAGAAGTTTTCCACGAACAGTAAAGTTTCTTCGAACGGAAAGTTCGTCTTTTCTTGGTAAACTCTCGCGGAAGTAGCGCACGATCTCTTCCAAAGCTCTGGTTACTCTTCTTCTTCTTCTTCTTCTTCTTCTACTACTTCTTCTTCTTTTTCTTACATTTTACTTTTATCCCGTTACTATGTGGAAAGCTTTTTTCTAAACGTTTAAAGTGCGTTCATCTACAACTTAGAAGATACACAACCACATCTATTATCACCATGCCCGTTCTCATCAACCACCAAACTCACGACACATTGTCGTTAAGCAACAACTTTTCTTCTGACACCTCAAATTATTACCAATAAAATGTAATTTACTTTCAAGAGAGAGAGAGAGAGAGAGAGAGAGAGAGAGAGATTTGAAAAATCATACGAGAAAACATTAAAACGATTTATAACCCGAGAAAAATTCAATCCGCGAAACGTTTTGTATCGGAAAAATTGTCGTTGAAATTTCAACCCTCATCCAGGGTGGTAAATTAATTTCCCGATACTGACACATCGATAGTTCGATCGAAGAGAGGACACAACGTTCGGAAGGGCCAACGACGGTTCGCGTTTCGCGCGGTAAAGTGGCTGACGTGTTGAAGTACGTTCGCTTAAAGTACTCTACTCTACTCGAAAATGGCATGAGAGATGATCGTGTAGAGACGTCGAATTAGGAATATAGAGAGATGAACGTTAAGTGACGGATGAATGAACGAATGAATGAACGATACAAGAGAGAGAGAGAGAGATGGTTGATGATATGGGCAACGTTCAGAGCTCGTTCAAATCCCCTGCGTTAGTTTTGATGGAATCGAGAACCCACCAGCAGCCGATGATGATCGTTAACGTCGTTAGCGTTAATTAATCATCGGCACGTAGATAAATACCTGTGTATCACGGTGGTAACTAGACGCCCGAACCAAGCCCACGTCCATTCATAATTATGAACAGGCTAACTCATTAGTCGTTGGGCGACATTAAATTCTCGCTTGGGCTACGAACTGCCGATTCATTGTCATCTCTCCCTTTCTCACCTTTTACCATTCTCTTCCAATATCTCTCTCTGTCTTTCTCTCTCTATTATATGCCAGGGAAAAAAGAGAACCGGAAACGTAACATCCTAATTATTAATTAGCCACCGAGAAAAACGTATTATCGTCTTGCCAGACAAAATGACGAATATTTCTTCACTTTTTTCTCTCCTTGTTTTTTTTTTTTTTTTAAATACAAATTATACATTTTTTTTTTTATATTCTTTCTTTCTTTTTTCTCTTTTATATTATTGAACATTTTGTAAATTTTACGATAGAAAGTTTGACATGTTGGGAATATTAAATTTATATAGGAAAAAATCCGTTGTTTTTTTTGTTTTAACAGGGAAAGAAAATAATCTATTAAGCATTGACGTATCGGAAAAGTCAACGAACGAAATTGTCGTCTAATCTTCCTACGCGTAATTAATTCGCGAAATTGAATAATCGAGTGCCGAATTTCTACTAATATATATATATACACGTAAATGTATTTACGATACCACGATCAATCTCCGGTCGCGGATTGACAATCAACGACTACCGAAGATGATACGGAATATTAAACGTCGAGAAAACCTGGAACGAGAGACCGTACATGTTCTGAGAAAATGGAAGAATAATAAAGGAGATATATCATTTTTCTCGTGCAATTTTTGGTTCCAACGTTATAATTATTCATATCTGTAAATCGATTTAAAAAAAAAATAAAGAAATATAAAGAAGAAGAAGAAGAAGAAGAAGAAGAAGATAATGATAATGATGAAGTGATCGAAATGAAGAAGATAACGATTTGACTGAAAGTCGTATCGATTTACCGATTTATTTCCATTCAAAGGATTCCTTAATTTTCGCAGTAATAACGTTTACACATGTGTACTCGCGTATATATAAAAAAAGAGAAAAAGAGAAAGAGAGAGAGAGAAAAGTATAAAATCCAATAGGTTTTGAGGACGATCTTCTTTGAGAGTCTACTATAAGAGGATGCAAATTAAGGATTCCTTTCAGTCTCTCCTCGAATCTTCGAATTGTGCATTCGAAAGGGTAAAGAAAAACGGGAAAGATAAAGAGTAGATGGAGTAGGATATGCGAAGAGTAGAATAATCCTCGAAAGTGGACCGCGAGATAACGGTGCTTTGGCTTGGAGAGGAAGGAGAAGATATTGGATCGCGGTATCGAAATAAATCTTTCGTGGCAAAGTTCGATAGGAGAATTCCTAAAGTCGAGAAAGAGATAGAAGTTAAAAAGAAAAAGGAGATAGAGAAAGAGAAAGATAAAGATAAAGATAAAGGGTAAGTGTCGACAAAGAAGAAGAAGTAGAGAAATAGGAATTGGAAAGGGAATCGAAAAGGATGATTTTCTAAGGTTAATCCTTTTTGGGGTAGAACTGGAAAGATAGAAATAAAGAAAAAGAAAAAAAGAAAAAGGAAGGAAGAGGTTTACGGGAAAGTACATCGACGACGAATCAAGCGTGACGGCAGAAAAAGTAGTCCTGTGGGTGTTGGAAGTGAGAAATCGAGGAAAACGCTCTGGATATGTGGGAAGACGAATGCCTGGAAGATAAAGAGGACACCAGAAGAATAGCCAACGTTGATCTTTGAATCTTGTTATCTTCGAACTGCTTCAAAAATAAAAGAATAATCGAAAAGGAAATTGTTGGAACGAACAGAATGTTAAAAACAAACGTGATGAACAATAATAATACGTTTTTTTATTCAGACAATAAATGTCGTCATATGTGAATTGTTGTTTTATTATTTAAATATTTGCAAATTGATATAAAATAACTGAGTAAAATAATAAAAGGGAAGAACTAGTAAAGTGTTTAAAAAATAATAATAATAATAATAATAATACGACATTTTTTGCATTCGTTACTCTTCGATCTAATGATCTTATAATCTGTGATTTACTTTTTTCTTTGTTTTTTTTTTTTTTGGAAATATTTTTGAACTAATGAGAAGAAAAGTGTAAACAAGGAAAAATATATACGTGATAAAAAGGATATTATCTACCGTATTTCGAAGAATAATTTCGTAGTCAGTGATTAATTTAATTTAATTTTTTTTTGTTGGTTTGTAAAAGAAGAAAAGAGAGAGAGGAAAGTGTAACGCAAGGTGGATCATAAAATTTGTATCCGGATCCTGGAAGAGGAAGAGGAAGAGGAAAGGGAAGTAGAGGAGAAAGAGAGAGAGAGAGAGAGTTGGTAAGTCGACGGTGATGGCATGAGGACTTTAGTAAGGACGGACTGTGGGTCCAGCGAGGAGGAGGATGAGGATGGTGGTGGGCGTGATGGTTCTGGGTCAGCTCCTGACGAGGATCCTACTCGCAGCTCACACTGTAGATCGGCTTGCAGCCGCTCGAAAGATACTCAGGGATGTTCCGCTAATCGACGGGTAAGTTCAATGTCATCAATCTTTATTATCTTATATTTAATCATCTAATAATTACTATGATCCTTGTATTCGAATGTTTATAAAATGCTACAATAACAAATTGTTTCACTTAGGTGTGTGTGTGATTAATATGATCATCTTTATAATTTAAATTCTGAAATATAAAATGGTTTCACATAGGTGATTAATACGATCTTTATATATATATGAAAAGCATAAAATATAAAATTTTTTTGCAGATGGTTGAGAAATGAAAAAAAAAAAAAACAAGAAATTTGAAAGAGAAAGAGAAAAATAATAATATGAATAGTTTTTATTGGTAGACATCAGCAAGCTCATCACTTTCTCTCTTTCTCTTTCTGTTTCTCTTTCTCTTTCTCTTTAACCGTATATCTCTGTCTCGTTTATTTATCCGAGAAGATAAAAAAGGTGCAATTTAATTGGACGCTTCTGGAGCTTAGTGCATTCTCATACAGATAATGAGAAAGTTTCGCGAGGGGTTGTGAAAAAGAAAAGACGTTAATGGAGAAGCGAGAAGAAGTTAAAAAAAAAAAAAAAAATAAAAAAAAATAAAATAAAATAAAATAAACGAAGAAACGCGGACATTGAAAATGAAAAAAAAAAATAAAAATAGATAAATAGAATGAGATAAAGGTGAAGAAAAGACAGAGAAAGCACTGAAAAAGATAGTAGAATTTACTCGAGAGTAGCCCGTGGCTGTTTGATCCTTCAGTCTTCAGTTTCTCGGGCAACCTAAATGTGAAGGAATAAGAGAAAGAAAAAAAGAAACAAAAAAAAAAGAAAAAACTCGAATGAGAGATATAGAGATATAAGAAAGAAAGGATGCAAGGGGGAGGTCAGATACGAATTTTCCGTTCTCCTGTCTGGAACAACCTTGCGTGTCTTTCTTTCGTATCGCGTTTGTGTGATTGCTCTCTCAACGTATCCGTATTCTCGATACGTATATTTATCGTTCTATGTATATTTATGTATGTATGTATATATCGGCCAAATAGGTTATCGGATCAGAAAGTAAACGAGAGTTGCTCTTTGTCGTTGCAAATTGCACTCCTTTTTCGTGATCGTCTCTTCCACTCGTTACCACTATGTTAAACACAAGCACACGCATATCATACATATACATTTATCGAGAAACATTCTCCTACTTATGTTAGACATTTTTACATTTATGTAAAAGTATCAGCACCTTGTCCTTTTCCTTTAGAAACCGTTGATAAAAAAAAAAAATATTCGGCGTGAAAAAACACTAACGATTTAACCAAAAGAACTTACTCGTTGGCAACCCTGATAAACGAGTAAAAACCTCGTAAAGCCTATTGTCCTTTAAAAAATAATGCTTTTCAGTTTTGTCCTTTTTCTATTCGAAGTTGATCGCATGACTGCAACGAGACCGGTCTCCCTCTTCCTTCTTATAAACGACGATCCATGTAACCTATACATTTTCTGATACATACATATATGTGTCCGTTTATATTGTGTACGTGGACGTGAGTAAATATATGTTTGTGTGGGTATACATCCGCTTTAATCCACCATTCTTGGATAAATCGCGAAAAAATCAAGTTATCGCGTGCTTCGGATAAAACCACAAAACTGAAACACCGTACACTATAGGTGTAGGAATGTGTGCTTGTTTCCTCAAATCGTACTTTCGAAGTTTCTCTAACCTTTTCTTCTACCTCATCCCTTCCATTTGAATTCCGAAAAGAGAGAGAGAGAGAGAGAAAACAATAGAGAGAAAGAGATTTTAACCTTATATGTAAAGATTACCAAAACTACGATACATACTTCTTCGGTTAGTTTCTACTATCGTATATAATCTGCATAGAAAACATAATCTCGCTCTAGTTTCACTTAACTAAGAATTTCAAATACACGTACACACATTTATGTATGTATGTTATGTATGTATTTATGTAATGTGAAAGGTTCAATGAAAATTATGAAGAAAAGAAATTCACATGAAAAATGTTCCAACTACTTTGAGAATACTTTGAAAAGCTTTTTGAAAAGCTTTGAAAAGAAGAAGAAGAAGAAGGTGAAAAATTATCTAGTAAATTAATTTTCTTTTCTTTTTAAATTTTATTCTTTCCATTTTACTATACCGTTTTATCCTTCTTTCAAAGATAATAATATATTAATCAAAAGTGTCTAATTCAGTAACATTAGATGCAACTATTACGTGACATTCATTACTGACTAGAAATATTTAATTACCATGTCCTTCGTTTCGACGACGAGATCACTGAAACGAGAATTTTTGTGGAGGAAAAAAGGGTAGGATAAAGAAAAGGGAAGTGGGCTTGAAAGAGTAGTTCTCTTCTCGTTTCTCGCAACTCGCTCGTAAAGATTTTCTAGGGAAAGAGAGAGAAAGAGAGAGAGAGAGAGAGAGAGAGAGAGAGATAAAGTATTTGTGAGAAATATATAAGAGAGTGAAAAAGAATGAGATAGAAAAAGATGGAGTGAGTGAGAATCAGAGTTTCGATATCCGTCAACTCGTTTCTCATCTTCTCGAAAAGAATTTTTAGATTCGTTGAAGTATCTCCAAGATTGAGCTTGCAATATTTCTGAACGGAAATAAAGAAAAATAAAAAAATAAAAAAGAGAGGAAAGAAAAGAGAAGAAATATTCTCTGATCCAGTTCGCTAGAAAATGATCGATACAGGGACAGAAGAAACGTTTTAATTTCGAAATGTTTTCGAGTAGTACGTCTTTGAATTAGGGAAAGGATCAAAGTTGTAATCCTAAGGGCTCGGTAGAGTAAACCTATGAAAATTGTAAGACCTCCCAAAGGGTAAAATTTCAAGATCGCACGTTTTCCTGTCTATTTCTTTTTCTTTTCTCGTTCGTATCGTCGTCGTCGTCGTCGTCGTCGTAGTTTTCAAGATGAACCTTTTAAAGCAACAAGTCCATCGCGCACAGCTTCTTCCACTTATGTTAGTCACAAGTTCTTTGCATTTCTCTCTCTCTCTCTCTCTCTCTGTTTCTTCCTCTTTTTTTTCTATTTTTTTTTCTTTTTATTATTATTATTTTTTATCCTCTGACATAGGTAGTAAGCAACATCATCATCTTCATCATTCCTTTTGAGATAAAACAGTGAGCATAAGAGAACGAACGATCATTCCGTGTTATAAAACGTGCACACACTTTCATCTAAATCCTTCTTATCATTTTGTATTAAATAAAACAAGCCTGAGTTTATATACACAACTCATGAAAAACTTGTTTATAAGATTTTTCGGGTTTTTAAAAAAATTTTAGGAGAGTAATAAATGAACAAATAAAAATATTAAAAAAAAAACCGTAAAGAAGGTGAGAATGAAAAAAATAATTGGATTGATCAAGAGATATATCGATAAAAAAAAAAACTCGTTCGAGTGCTAATAAAAAAAGAAAAAAAAACCATCGTAAAAATCGGTCGACGACGTTCATACATACATGTGTATTTTGTACACATATAAATATACATACGTATACACATATAGATATTTTCTATAAATACATTTATAGATTCCATAAAGGAAAGTATATTCGTGATAGGATGATACATAAAGAAACGACAAAACTCTCACGGAATCCTGCGATTTTTATTTACATAATCCGATATATAAAGATAAACATTTCATGAAACATATATACATATAAAATCGTTCAAATAGTTTCTTTCTTTATAGTAACTTTTACATGCATACAATTGTGTTTTTTTTTTATACTATTTTATTAAATTATATACATAATATAATAAAAAAAATAATACGGCACATAATGATAATGATCGTTTAATTTATTGTCAGTAAAAAAAAAAAAGAAATAAAAATAAAACAAAAATTGTGTGCATGTAAAATTATTATGAAAAAGAAATAAACTTGATATATAACTCAAAATATACGATAACATTTTATTTTCCTTATACCAACAACTTCTTATCATAGACCTCTTAAAAACAAGATAATATCATTTTCGTTCGGATGAAATGAATACTCTCCTTATTTTATTATTGTTGTTATATTTTTTGTCGAAGAATAATCTGAGCTAAGAAAAAAAATCTAAGAACGTAACTTTGCGTCACAAGATGCTGTCTTCGAAAGAGAAAGAAAGAAAGAGAGAGAGAGAGAGAGAGAGAGAGAGAGAGTGAGTGAGTATGTGTGTGTACGTTTCATGAAAATTCTCCTTGGTTCTGGTTGGTTCGTCGAAATAGTACACTATTTGGACAGGACGTCGAGTCTGAGTTTGAATTGTTTTCCTGAGAGACGACTCTCCAAAGTACATACACGTAGATAACCATAGATATATATCATGCATATATATATATATATATATACATCTACCTATTCGCACATAGATATATGTATAAACGAGATACGATATTTCTTCGCTTTGAAACGAACTGGATTACCTCGAAACATTGAAACAATTTCTATCGATTTATCGAGTGTCCTCGTCCCCTATTTAAAACCGATTTACGAAACGAGAGTTTTTAATTATTACTCTATTCGAACGTAATTAAAAGCAGATCGATGTACATCTCTCTTGTATTCGGACAAATATATTCGTTAAATGAAAATCACCATTGATGAATATTACACGCGTTAATACTAAATTTCTACACAACGCGAAACAACAAGCTCAAATTTTATTCAAGAAACTTATCATATTTGTATTATATCAAATTTATTATTTCATTCAGAAAACGTGATTACAATTCTTTCGCGTTTATGCAAACTATTTTCCTAAAAAATACAATTTAAAATAATATTAATATTAGACCGGATTTTATGTTAGAATGTTCATTGTTGCAGCTTCTAATCGGATTTCAACGAACTACATATTTCGTTTAATTCTCTTTCATTGTGTCTTTCTCTCCCCCCCCCATTCTCCTATTCCTCTCCCCCTATACCACTTGGCTTCTCGCACCTCGTTCAAAATTGGTCGAGAAACGAGAACGTCCGAAATTTCGCTACGTAAATTTCGACTTCGGA